TTCCCTAACTCAAAAGGAGAGAGAAGAAATAGATTCATGCCTTCCCCCAGTGTATTTGTGTAAAAGTGATAGCAACAGACTAGCCCAGAATTTGAACTTAGATCACCAGGACTGTTTTACATAGTGGCATCTATTACACTATCCACACAACACAATTACTATAATCATATAAAATTGCTACATCTATCCCATAATGTTTGTTAAATTTGCATGTATATTTCATACACTTAATGGAAGTGCTATACAAGGAAGAATATTCCCCCATTTTCATTTCTCTCATTATGAGCATTATCATATCCATGATATAAAATACTTTATTTCATGAATAGAACAGAGTAGTTGAAAGAAAAAGAATGACAAATATACTTTGTTCTCAGAGAGAGTTTTATACTGCTAAAAAAAGAAAATTATATACATATATTTAGACATGTCCCACACAGAAAAACTATAGCACATGTATAACACACAAGCAGTGTGAAAATGAGAAAAAGATAGAGGGTCTTCCTTGTAATAATTCCCAACAGGAATTTGAGCTGCTAGAGTATTCTTCTTTCTGGAGAAGCTATATTTAGAATTTCCAATGGAGATTCAATCGGGTTAGATTTTTCTTTTCTGTCACTAGCAAGGATATTTTTCTCAAACAAAAAAGGAGTGAGTCATTGATATTTACCAGCATGAGGACTGCAAGCTAGAAATAGTTTCTATATCTGGTGAAGACATATTTTAAAAGAAAATAGTGGCATGGGCTTGGCAACTGGCTGGCCAAGGCAGAGGTCTGGCCTTAACTGTGTGGATGGACAACTCATGTGTCTTGACTCCAGGCAGTTGACTGACAAACTGACCTCTTTCATCATTCTATAAAGTGACATCACTCTAAATGCCTTCAATCAAAGGTTTAATACCATGAGTGAGAAAGAAGACTATGTGGAGATTACTATCTGTCTATATTTCTGAGATGAGGTATTATGTACATTATTTACATTATTCGGACTATTGCCCTCATCTTTGTCGCCATATTTATTACAATGTTTAGGCCGTTGTACACTCCGACCTTCTTCAGGTGGTTCGAATGTCAAAGTGAACCCTTTATTTTGCTCACTGGGGTAGACTGTTCTAGTTCCACATGCCATGTCGAATAGATGGCAGTTATCAGTTATCTCATGACCCTTGTGACTTCATCTAAACCAAAGGAGATAATCACCTTTTGTGTCCCTACACACTAAACACAGCATCTTTTATAGGACAGGGATAATTTTTTTTTTATATAATACTATCTCTGTCCTATAATGTTTTTTTACAGTTGTATGCACTTTTCATCCAATAAATGTACTTATTTGTTTGTTTACTCCATTTAAAAAAGAATAACTTATTTAAAAAAGATGATAAACCTTAAAAACTGTGTTGAAAAATATTATTTTGTAAATATGATAAAAAGACAGACAGTTATAAAATTACAATTTCAGCAATCTTGGGCTTTCATGTATGCCAAAAAATAAATGTCAAACGTATGGTTTTCACTTGACATCACTATTATTTTAACTACCTTCAATCCTCAACAATATTTATTGTTTTAAAAAGCAATGATTAGAATTCTAATAAAATTTAAACATACAATGAAAGTGAATTTATACATTTTTTTGTTCTTGAGAATTTACAAAAAAAATATTAAACACTATTTATTTATTAGATTGTTTATTTACAAGAATAATTTTATATCTTCAACATTCTAAAAACTAATACATTTAAAACTAATGCAATGCAATATTTATCATTTACCAATTTATAAATAAATAAATGTGTAAACAATTTTTTATTCATAAATTTTTAAACATCCACTAAATCATAAAAATATTTGAACCAACTATGAAAAAAATCTTTATTATTTACCATTTTATAAAGTTCAAATCAATTGGCAATTAGACAATCTTTTGCCAACAATTTCAATGTAATAAATAATGATTATTATTTTTGTTGACAATTCTCAAGAACAAAGAAAATGTATAAATTCACTCTGATCATATGTTTACGTTTTATTAAAATTCTACTCATTACTTTTTAAAACAACAAACTTTTCTAGTTAAAATAATAGCAGTGTCAAGGGAAAAACTATCTTTGTGACACTATTTTTTTTTTCAGAAACAAAGGTCCAAGACTGCTACAATTTCAATCTTTAAAATTAAATATTATGATTTTTTATTTGATAATATAATAAATAAATCTAAATTATCTGTATAATTTTTTTGTAGAAAATCGGCAAGAACAAAAATATGAAGGTTTGTATAATTTTGTTAAATTTTGTGACATGAAACTTTATTTGTAAATATGCACTTAGGCAACCATGCTCTGTCAATCTAAATTTACTGTTTCTTCATCTTAAATCTTATTTTAACTTATTGCTTATATTATCAGAATTAGTAATGCAAAAAATAAGCTTTTTCTAAATTTCTGAAAACAAGTTATAAAATTCCTAATGAAAGTAGAAAATGCTACTAAAGTCATATTTATACATGTATAGGACAAGAATTATTGATTATATAAATGTCTAATTTATAAGATTATTCAGAAAAAAAGAAAAAACTACCTTTTCAGTGTATTTCCTTATCACTATTATGAACATTTGTATGTATGTTTGTTTTCTGTTATCTTAGCATGATAAAAGTGTGGGTTGCCATTGCCTTCTCCACAATTCAGAACTTGGAGTTTTCCATCTAGACTGGCTGCCAACCAAGGCTACAGAGATCAGTATAGACTGCTATTGAACTCATAGCAAAAAGAGAATAAATTAATTCAAGCCTTTATCTAGAGCATTTGTGCAAATATAAATGCATCAGACAAGTGTAGGATTTGAACCCTGCTCTCTAATTCTAATTTCTATGAAGATAACCACTCCTCTACTCATATATCCGAAATTAAGGGTTACTTGTTCTTAAAAACGAGGTGAATAATGAATGCAGCAGCCCTGTTCTTAAAGCCGAGGTGAATAAAGATTGTAGCAGCTTTTTTAAAGACAAGGTGAATAATGGGTGCAGTAGTCTTATTCTTAAAGAGAAGGTGAATAATGGGTGCAAAAGCCTTGTTTTTAAAGACGAGATGAATAATGGGTACAGCAGCCCTGAAATTTATATAATAAATTCTATTACTGTATATAATCGAGTATAGAGCAAGCTTTTGTGATTAGTTCATATGCAAAATATATGAGGTTGCACTATACACGCATTTTCAGTGACTGATTGCACTATACACATGTAAAGTTTTTCTGGAGGGGTTAAAATTCATGCAAAAAAAAAATCAAGGCCCACATTATTCAACAAGTCGTCTTATACACGAGTGTATAAGGTAAAACGTTTTTTTAGGAAAATAAGGTTTCTCAAACCCACTTATTGTTACAGTTCTTTCCATTAGTAATATTGAAATTGTAAACAGTCCGGGGGGACACACGGATAAAGGAATCAGAGGGCAGTGTTCGAATTTCGGTCTAATCAATTACTTTCACTTATATGCTAAGACCCATCAGGAAAGGTATGAATCCTCTTCTTCTCCGACCAGCTATGGGTAAATAGCAAGGCAGCCTTGGATGGCAACTGGTCTACTGCAGAAAGAAATGGCAACCTACCGCCGGAAAATAAAAATCTGCCTCGTCAGTCATGTATCTTTCGATATATGATCGCCGAAGCGTGTATCCCGCATGGCACATAACTGACTGAATCGAACAGGAACCGGTTGTTTGAACGTGATGTGGCCGTGAGACCGATTGTGATACATGTACCTGCTATACCGTTATGGGACAGGTTGCCATGATAGGTGTATATTTGCAGTCTGTCCTTAGTTGAATGCCGTGACGTTCTTTCAATCAATCAATAAAATAATAATAATAACTAGAAATAGCAGGATAGGCCAGGTTCTATAGCCCTGATGGCAACTGGTCTACCGCAAAAAGAAAAAATCTGCCTCTTCAGTCATGTATCAAAAGATACATGATCGCCTAAGCGTGTATCACGCATGGCACATAACTGACTGAGACAGTCCAGGGATTTCTTTTGCTGTGTGTTCAATAGAATTTCAAGATTAACATTTTTTTCTAATATTTGTTTTGCTTTTTCCAGGTTATTTTACAGCACGTATAAATATGATGTTTGTACTTGACTCAGCAGTTGGAGCAGAAGATTTTAAAAAGATTAAAAACTTTATGAAATCGGTTGTCAAATACTTCAACATTGCTCCCAAATTTGTGCGAATAGGTGCCTTAACATACAGTATACAAGCAGGTTTCCACTTAAATCAATGCAAGAATATGAGACAAGTGCTACACTCAATTGACAAGATACCTTATGTGCACAGGCCACCATATTTGGGAAGAACTTTGGATTACCTCAGACAACATTCATTCACAGAAGAATTTGGCGGCAGACCAAATATTATGGATATTGTCATCATTATCACTAATGGTGAATCTGTACATCCAAAAGAAATGGTGCAACAGGCTGACGCTTTGAAAACTTCAGGTGTGAAAGTCTTCGTTGTTGCTGTTGGAAAAGTTCAGATGAAACAGGTTTTGAAGCTTGCTAGTCGTCCGAGCAACTTGTTTGTAATGGAAGTCTCTGACTACAATTTTACTGAAATAGACACATTTACATTAGCCTACAGAATATTTTGGGGTAAGTTTTTAGTTATTCATTTCAATAAATTTATTTTGGTTGGATAAATTGTAATTAACATAAATTTTAAGTTTTTATTAATCTTTTTATACTAATTTTCACCCAACGCAATGTTCAATTGATCTTTTGATTCATTTTCTACGGTTTATCAACCCTTTGCACGTTGTTCAGAGTCAGAAAATATTTTTAGATTGTAAGTTTTTTTTTAGATAATAATGATTTAGTGATACAAGTCTTACTAATTAACCCATAGCTGGGGAGAAGAGATGCATTTATAACTTCCTCAAACTAGAATTGGAATTCAGCTACCAGATTAACAATTTATCCATTACACCTCCTACACATCAACACCAGGTATTCCCAAGCGGCCATCCATCTAGGGACCGACCAAGCTCGACATTGCTTAACTTTGGGGATCATACGGAAACCAGTGTCTCAATGTGATATAGCTGTAAACCTACAGAGTTCAAGAACCGTTCAAGGTAGAAGGTTACTGTTATAATGGATATGATGAATGCAGTGTTTATGAGGGAAAGAAGAGGTGATAGAAAGTGAAGATTATAAAGATTAGGAGAATAGATAGTAATCGTCTCTTGACTTGAGGTTAAGATTGTAGTGTTCATGGGTATATCCATACAGGAGTTTAGTCCACAATCTTCTTAGCAAAATGCAGAGGGGAACTTTACTTTGAAAAATGACAGTGATTCGGCTCGGTGGAAGTAGCATGGCGTATCCTCTCTGTAAAGGTCTGAACTAAAAATGGAATCCGATTATCTCCATATTTTACCATGGAAGCCGAAATTCCGTTATCAATAAGGTTACAAAAACATAACAGAGGTGAAATGTCGGAAGATCTCAGTAAATCTATATCCATGGCACTTCAAAAAAACCAAAAGCAAATACATGAAAATTCCATTGAACGATCAACTTGTTGAGTGATATAATTAAATCTATTTATTCTTAGAATTTCAATAAATAGTGCTCAGAGCAGAATTAGACTGACAATATGTCAAGAACGGTGCAGCTTTGTTCAAGACAAATAACGAATAATACAAATGCAGAAAAACCTATACTGATCTTTTATGCATTACAGAGAGGGATTTGATGGAATGCTACGCGAAGAGTTACTGAAAGTATTCAGAAAGCTTGATTTACAGAGGAAGAATATTCAGTTATTCAAATAATGTATAACTTATACTAGGAAAACAGCTTTAATTCGAACAGAGAACGATTTCAATGAATACACAATGATAAAACATTACGACGAAGATGCGTTTTATCGTTGAGATGATCCTAAGAGAATTTGAACACATATCCTATAATCTTAACATAAGATACGCAGATACTGTCTTGATAATAGACCCAGAAAAGAAACTGAAAAAACTCATGGGAAAGGTAGTAATGGAAAGCAAGAAGAAAGGACTAACCGTCAAATATAAGAAGACCGATTCCAAATGAGACCGCCCAAGTTGTGAATTACGGATTGGCAGCTTCCGAATCAAACAGAAAGAGGAATTTAACTAAGTAGTGTAATAACTTATGGAGGAAATTGGGATACATAAATCCATAGCTGCATAGAAAGAAGTCTTTCTGAAAAAATGTAAAGTATTAAGCGAGAGGAAAATGTCCTTAGAAACAAACAAAAAGAACTGCTATGTAGTATCTAATCTCTGTGGTGTAATTGTCCAGCATTCACTGACATACGGGCAGAGAATGTTGGACAATTACCTCACAGGCAATGAAGCAACGTGAAGCGACATCTATGTGGTTCTACGGACGAATGCTAAGATTACCACGTACATAGCATGTAATCAACGAGAAAGTTTTAAGAAAAATACTATCTACAAGGAAACTGTTTCTTACAGTTAGAAAACAACAGCTGAAATTTCTGTGGCACAAAAAGGAAAGAGGATATAGATAATTTAACACTCACTGTACATATTAAAGACAATACCCGCTCATTATTAATGTTTCTGTTCCTAATTCTTACACCCACTGTAACCCCTTGTGTCTTAGGGGCTTTACTACCTTGCAAGGGTTGATACCGATTAGAAAAAAGAGCATGTCAAAACTAGACTTCGCTTAATAAGTTATATACAATGTTTATTTTTCTTTTTAATAGGTATCCAAGATTATGATTTACTATTTCATATCAAAATATTTCATTAACGCTTATTTATGTTGTTAATGTTTATTAATATTTTAATATTTCAAATAAATATCTTTTTCCAGGCTATGATAAAAGATGGGATATGCAAGGTTCGTAATTTATTTTCGCTTCTTAGATTTTCATCTCCACTCTTGCTTCAATAATTTATTTTAATTTCTCGACAATACAAATCAACATAAAAATATAAATCTTCCAAATAACTGCCAAGAATTTTCTTCGTCAGCATAAAATAATTTGTCTTTTAAAAATACCATCTTGAACGATGATTCTTATTGTTTTGTCTCTATTCTACGATCTTGAAAGAATAATCAATACCATCTACCAAGTGTTTGAAAAATTAGAACTCAAAATAAACTTTGCCAAAACAGAAACTATTATCTGGAATTGGAATGAATGTGCTGCACAGACCAGATCCAAAGAAATTCAGGGCATTAGATTTGGGACAGGCTTGACTGCAGTAGTTGCCTGAAGATAAAAGGAAGCTTGCTGGGCAATAATAAAACCGCGCTTCCGATTATCAAATAGATACAAATTTACACCAACAGTAACTAAAAGATCATAAAATGGATATATACAAAGAATTGCAGCAAGTGATAAAACTTGCTAGCTGTTGATCAACAACAACAACAGCATCTACGTTTACTTTTCGGCGCCGATTAGTACCACTTGTCTTCCAACGGTTACTATACTTTTGGAACATTACTATTCAAATTTAATTCAAATATACGGGTATTGTGTAAGTGACGTCATGTGTAAAATGGTTTCAAAGACTTCGACTGCACCTCAAAATAAAGTTTAAAATATTTTATATGCATGATTATATTCTAGACACTTAGTAAACATTTTATACGCACTTAAGCTACAAGTTTTCTGTTGTGAAAGATATTTAATAGAGTTGTTTTGTATAAAATAGCTTCGTGTATTTTGTGTCTTTCCTTGCAGTGAGTGCTATATAGTATTTTCGCATTAACTACTCCTATCTTTTATATTAATAGTTTCATTTTAGTTGTTTGAGATGAGATGATCGATATATGATTCATATTAAAATATATTATCAATGTTATATGAAATGTTTTTAATTTTATACTCTATTTTCTTTTGTACAGAATTGAAAAAACGCCAGCTAGAAGGTAAGAAGTATACATTTTTTCAAAAAGTAATTGAGACATAATTCTTAAATAAAATGTTTACTTTTGCTACAATTTTAAATTCCTTTGTTATATTTTTCTGTTTTTATTTTTCATAATTGACAGTTTGATTTTAAATATGATGCTATTACTTTTTGTCTTTCCTTACAGTTAGTACGCTATAAAATTTTAGCATTACATCATTGCAAAAGTTTTTAGAATATAAAAGACAAAATGTTAAATATTCCAAAAAACATTTATTAGTGAAGTACATAGTACCCATTGTGTTTATCAACTCTCTTCCGGTGTTCTAAAAGTTTATTGATGCCATTTTCAAAGAAAGTTTTCAAAAAGTTGAGAAGTAGCTTTTATATGACTGTACAAAGTCTTTTTTTGCCATTAAATTATTCTGCAGAGACCGGAACAAATGAAAATCCGAAGTTGACAAGTCAGGAGAATACAGTGGGTTCTGAAGGGTTTCCTACTTAAACACTTTAAGTTTCTGCAAAGTAGGTTTTGCGTTGTCGTAATTGGAAATGAGACCTGTTCGATTTGCCAAAGTTGGCTGTTTTTCTTGAAGCCAAATCTCTTCAAATATTGAAAAGCGGTTGAAATGCCGATTTTCAAACTCTTCGTAATCTCTTCCATTGATATTTTCAAGCAGGTCGTCTTCATCGACGTCGGAAGGTCGCCTCAGGCGTGGTTGGTCGTTTAGTTTAGAATCATCCTAACGAAACCACTTTTTGACTGTCGAAAGAGCTGGAGCATTATCAAAATAAACCTTCTGAATGTTTTTTGTTGCAGTTCCTACGCTTACTGTTTTCGAAAACTCGTAGAGTATAGGATGGTGAAAGTGAAGCTTTTCATCCTCCATTTTAAGGTATTCGTTCGTGAACAAAACATCAACGTTCAACAAAGGTTGACTCACAACTGAACGATGAAAGATTTCCATCTAAATCACGCCAGAAATCGGCATCAAAATAACCGCTAGTGTTAAATTGCGCTCATTTTATTTTAACAATGAAAATCAGGGACGAAAATTTGCAATATCATATTATCTACTAAACTATTTATTAGATCTATGGATTTTAAAAATTATTTTATTGTTTTTTTGTTTTTATGCTAATTATTCAATGCAAAAATTTGATGATGTCTGCAAAAAACCGTTAACTCATGTCTATTGTTTAATAGATTTTTATTATTTAGAAACTTAATAATGTGTAGTTATATTTTTAAATAAATAATTATATTTATGCTCTACTTTTGTATCGAGCACTATTTTTAAAAAATAATAACAAAAATACTAAAGAACTTTGGATTCCTAACGAGTTCTTTCCTATTTTCTATATATTTTTCACATATATATATATATATATATATATATAATAGCTTCAGTATTTAGAGTCTTTCCTTGCAGTGAGTGCTTTATAGTATACTGGAATTAACTAATGTCTGCCTTATACTAATAGCTGTATTTTTGCTGTTTGGAATGTAATAATGGATATACAGTGTATATTAGAATATATTATAAGTCTTTTAGGCGATACATATTTTGATTTTATGCAACAAAAATATTCTATTTTCTTTTATACAGAAGAAAAAGAACGCAAAATAGAAGGTAAGTAATATCCAGTTCCTTTCAAATATATATTAAAATCTATTTTTTAAATAAAATCTTTTTACTTTTAATGACGGTATTGAGTCGATTCTTTTTCCTTGTTTTAATATTTCATTATTTCTTTACAAACTTTTTTTTCTTTTGGGCGGAGAGACACTGAAGATAATATCGAACAGCATTTTGATCTTTGATTAGCTCTGTCTTTCCCAAGCGTGAATAGACGTGGCTCTCCACAATTTCCATTCCTTTGTACCTCTAAGCAATTTTTGTCAATTTACTAACACTTCCTGTCATTGTCCGGCCATTGATTGTCACAAGAGGAGTTATTTTACATAATAGATAGTTCAGCATTCTTTTCTACGTTTCTTATTAAATCAATCTCTCTCTCTCTCTCTCTCTCTCTCTCTCTCTCTCTCTCTCTCTCTCTCTCTCTCTCTCTCTCTCTCTCTCTCTTAGAGCTAGGACGTGTCTCGTTCCTCAGTTGGGGACTTTTCAGTCCCAAGTGAACATCATGTCGCATTAAACACAACACAATTAT